CTCAGAAGAGTTATGATTTAGACATTTGAGTTCAAAGAGCATGTGGTCAGAGTCCAAGGGGTTTTCTGGTGACCGTTCTGTGGGAAGCATTTTGGAGAAGGCAGTGACTCGTGGTACAATGGCATCTTGCAGTTTCCTTATGTCTCAAACAAAGCTTTGGATGAGAGGATGACTCTGGAGTTTCTCAGAATTCAGATTCTGTGAGCCTGAGCTCAAAAAATAGAAATGAACATTCCATAAACCCTAAGAGGGTGTGGAAACCTCAAATATCACTGTGTTTCCTCTGAATTATGGAAATGATCTACTTAGTCATAGCTCAAAGCTGATCAATTTTTAAAAATAATGCTTGAATGTCTATCCAAAAAACTCATCAGTCGTATATTTTTAGCAATTAACTTTTGTTCATTTAACAAAGTTATTTTCAGGTCCTGTGCTAGATAGATACTAGAAATATACATATAAATGTATATAGATATATCTATATATATACATGCATATGTATTTTTTTAAGTGCTGGTAATCAAATCCAGGACCCCTCTCATGCAAGGCAGACTCTGCTAAGTTACATCCCCAGCTAGATACTAGGGTTATGAATTAAAAAACACAAAACTGTCTTTGAAGTGTTTGTAATGTAACTGAGAACACAGTGACTGAATAAAGCAATTAAAAGTTGATTGTTACAAAGAAAGTCAAGAATTATGGAAAAGGATAATGAAGACACCCAGCCTGGTGTGAATGGTTAGGAAAAGCTTCCTGACAGCAGCAGCTACCAGGTCAGGAACAAGAGCTAATGAGTGAGTATTACGGGTGGGTATATCGTATACCTTATTTTACTTGATCTTCATAAGAACTCCACCAAATAGAGCTTATTTTATTGTTTCTACTTCATAAACAAAAGAAATTCAGGCAGAAGAGGTGAAATAACACACCCAAGGCTTGCAGCTTCTTGGAGATGATACCTAAACTGAGTGCAGGAAGCTGCTCCATTGAGTCTAGAGTGGAAAGCCGAGTCTGGAGACAAAAACTGCAGGGCCCCACTGTGTTTAATTACACTGGAAGACCGCCTCAACTGGCTGTGTGAGCTTTGGAAGGGGTTTCTTCATTGTCTTCTTAAAATCCTAATGCACCAGGGAAAGAAAAAACAAGCTGCCTTCGAATTTAGAAGAGAAAGAGATTAAATGGTTTACATACAGCCAGAGATATAAAGGTTCATTAGAATTTTAAAAAATTTTAAAGAGAAATTTTCTCAGAACTCACACAGATCGTGTAGTATGTGATCCAGTTTTCTAATAATCCTTGGGTAATAAAGCCCTATAATGATTTTTTTTTTTTTTTTGTGCTGGGGATCAAACTCAGTCAGGTCCTTGCTCTTGCAAATCGGGCGGCGAAACCACTGAGCTAAATCCCCGGCCCCTGCCCTATAATAATTTTAATGAAATTGTACCTGGCATCTATCAAGTGGGAATTGTTTAGCAAAATATCAACAGATTTATGGTAAGGAAGGAATAGACTTGTCTTAGCAATTCATGAATCAGGCAGCATCTCATCAAAAGGTTTAAAAAGGTGCTGGGCCCAGGTGAGGCAGAAAATGGTGGGGAAGCAGAAGGAAGGACCAAAAAGCAGATTGGTATTATAAAGTTTCTTTCCTTATAAGGTTAGGACAGGCGGCCCTACCTTATCATGGCGGCTTGTAGTCTGGGTCCCTTCCTATTTGTTGCTATGAATTTCCTATTTTTTGAAAAACTGGTCCATTTTAAAGTGCAGTTTGATTATGTAACACCTGGCATGAGACGCCCAACCTTGATTTGGTTTCTTCTGTTTGGGGCCTTATTGCAGGAGCTCAGTCCAAACCATTGGCCTCCTATAAATGTTATTTAACATGATGATGGTAGTTGTTAACTATCTTCAAGCGTTAAGTCCCAAAGGCATTGATTCTAGCAAGTTCTCTTTATAAGTTCTTGGAATTGCATGTTTAGAGCAAACAATGAAGAGATAGAATCCTAGAAGGGAAGAATTTTGTTCCTAGTGTTTTTAGCATAGCTCTAAAAGGTGGCATTTCTTACCGACCTCATAACATTTGGGAAATAGATTTGCCAATCAGTATTTACAGTCAGTATTGTTAGAAAATTTCTACTCTAATTTCAGGAGAAGCCTTTTAAGCATTTGTGTGTCTAGCATTACTCTGTTTAGGGATACACCAAAGGCATCTTTAATTATTAGGAATCACATGCTGTTAAAGTTTAATCAACTGGAATTTAACTACACAGAGTTCTCAATTAAACTGAAATTTTTTTGGTACCATATCTAAAGCTTAGGGAAAATCACCAGACTAAAAAATGTTAAAGAAATAAATAAAAATAAAAACTTTAACTCATATTTTAAGGCTTATGGAATGCCATTCTGACTCCATACCTTCAGACCAGGATTCTGGACCCTCAAATCCTACCACACTACTACAACCTTGGGATGAAGAACATGAACTTAGAACTCAGATTGGGAGTTCCCTTGGGACTAGGAAAGAGTTCTTACCATACCCATGATCGTCCAGAAAAGTTATTTAATTTCTTGATAACTAAATTCCTTCACCAGCACAAGGGAATAATAATGCATGTCTCACTGTAATATGATGAGACTCAAAGGAGGCTACATAAGTAAAGTAGAATGCCAGTTTGTTATAGTCCTCAGGAAACTGAAATCATGTAAAATCAAGATTTTGCCTGAGTCATCATACTAATAATAGACACACACACACACACACTCACACACACACACACACACACACTACATTTGGTATTCTATACTAACTCTGATGGAAAATTAAGCCATTTTTCAAAACTTATGTATGACTTTTAAGGGTTCCATGAATCAGCTGAGCCTCCTCCAGTTCTTTCACTTGAGGATACCTCTAAATCAATTATTATTATTATTATTATTATTATTAATTATTGCAGAGGTTAAGCCCAGGAGTGCTGTACCACCACTGAGCTACATCCTCATCCCTTTTAATTTATTTATTTTTTATTTTGAAACAGGATCTCACTAAATTGCCCAGGCTGGCCTTAAACTTGTGGTCTTTTTGCTTCAACCTCCTGAGTAGCTGTGGTTATAAACATACACCAATTGCAGGGCCTTTTCTTCTTCACTATGGATTGAACTCAGGGTCTTAGATATGCTAGGCAAGTGCTCTAGAACTGAGCTACACCTCTAGCCCCTAAGTCTATGATATGAATTGGCATTTTTGTTTTCTTTTCAGTTGCTTACTGGAAGGCTACACTATGTAGCCACAGTTTGAATGCTTAAACAATAGGTTGCGTTTAATTGCACCAGGATGAATGGTGGAAATTTAAAAATTAGGGCCGGGGATTTGGCTTAGTGGAGCCACTGCCTGCCTCACAAGTCCAAGAGTTTGATCCCTGGTACCAAAAAAAAAAAAAAAAAAATTAGTGCACAGTGAAGGAAGTAGGGGAAGTACTGGAAATGGGGAGTGGCCTCGAGGAGTTTGTGATTCCCTTGGAAATGCATTTTGCGGGCTAGTTGGGCAGTTGCATAATCACATACAGGGACATGGTGAATTTCTTTCAGGAGGGGGGACAGTTGTCAGGAAGTTTGGGTAGGAGGAGGGACAGGAGCCTGACAAGAACAGCTGAAACAGGGTCAGAAGAGAAACAGGAGCATTCTGGCTGGGTTAGTTATTTGTGTAAAGTCTGAGAAGTGATTTATTAAATGCATAATTGAACAAGTCAACTACTAAACAGCAAAATAGTAATACCTGTCTCCTCCTGGTGCAATCACAGTGTTTGCTATCTGACATACTTGTGGGTTGAGTCATTATTTGCTAACAATAGTGTGTTTGTTTTGTTGCCAATGATTAAATTATTAACCATGTCCTTTTTTCATTTCCCAAAATATTCTCTAACTGTGAGGATCTTGACCAGTTAGATCACTTTGTCTCTTTTGCTTATGTGGTTGGTAAGTGGAGTATGGTTGCATTTATTTTTAAGCAGTTTACATCTGTGATTTCATTTACTTTTTAAAAAACAATTCCACATCATTATAGGAAAAAAGGAAGAGGTAAGGATAATGAGGCATGGTCAGACTCCACGGTCAGAGGCTGGCACCTGGCTGTTCCCTGGGGAGTGAGCATGCCAAGGTGTAAAGGAAATCTTGGCTAAGGAGTATGCCTCTCTGTGCTCTGTGCCTGATTGAAGGGCACCAAAGAAAGGGCCACTCAGAGGTAAGTAGAAGCCTGGAGCCTGCAACAAGAGGGCTGTTGTTACTTTGCCAAAGGAGATATCTAGATAACCAGGGATGGGCACTTTCTGACAACTTCCATTCTTAAACCTCGTGCCCTTGCATGACTCGTTACTTCCATGAATTATCTTTCATTTCCTTCTTTCTTCCTTCATAAAGGATTCTACCCTACCAATGGAATAACATTGAAAGAATTATGGCTTGGGCTTATCACGGAAGTATATTTCACAGTTCCAAGATCTATTGACATATATTCGTATTCTTCATATAGAAGAGCTCTGTGATCACAAATGTAAGGATATCAGTTATTCTGTAAGTTGGAGCTATAGATATCTATATATTGACAAATAGGTATTTATAGCAAAATGCCTATACAGATACTTGCTTTTGGAAATTCAATCCAGATTTCAAGTATTTTTTTCATTCTTACTTTTCCTCTAAAAACCTGAAACCACATATTCTTTAAATTCCAAAACTTTTAAAATAATTCACGTCCTTCAGCTGATGTTATTCATGAATAAGGAAGAAAACAAACCCTATCTCAACAAAATCCTAGGTTTTCGGGGAATTAGGGCCCTCCAAACCCTATATTGTGTCATTTGAGAGGTCAGTGACATCCAGGGCTGACCTTAGGTGAGAAGCAGTCATCTCAGGCTCAGCTTTGAGGGCAGCACACAGACTTGCTAACCCACTGGGTCTCAGGTCCTGGCCCATTTCTTGAGATGCAGGCTTGGGCACAGAGAGCAAAGCCAGGAATTCCCATGATTACAGGTGACAGAAGTCAACCAAGTGCCCTGGCAACAAGGCTGGCCAGTGAATGTTTACAGGACCTCTGGCAGTCTGGGAAAATCAAAATGATCCAAGAGGAATAAAGGCCTTGAACTTTCTGTGAATTTCGGTTTCTTTCCTCCCTCTCTTGGTATCTCCATAATTCATCTCTCTTAACCTTTCTTTTTTTCTATTGTCAGAGTGATTAAAATTCTCAACTCGGTGCTCTGAATCAATAGAAATTTTAATTCTTTTGAAAGCCTGATAGCAAAGTTTGCTTTCATTGTCTCTCTGCCTCATCACTGGGATAGGAGGAGGAGGAATTTGCTCTTACCCAATAAAGTATATGGGTCCCATCTGATAGTGGCTTAAACCCCGGACTTTGCTGAAAGCTTCAGTTCCCCTCCTGCCCAGGCTGGTTCTTTGTGCAGGAGCAGCTGCTACTGCTTCTGGAGATAGCTTGTTGCAGAGCTTGGCGTGCTCTGCTCTCCTCATCCTTCTGTTGATCTCCCCTTTGGCACCTTTGGCTGCACCACCTGCAGAAGCAGCTGGAGGATGGGGGGCATTGTCCTGTGCAGGTAAGGCAGTCTAGGGAACTGAGAAGCCTCTGTGTGGTCACTCTTGGAAGGCCTGCTAGGGTGCCACCCCCTGCATTGGTTCCTGGCACTGTGACAGCCTCAGTCACAACTGGGTGCTACTTGAGTGGGTAAGAATGCCCATGACACGGTTCCTATCATTTGGATGCGGAGTGTTCCCCAAAAGCCCAGCATTAAAGGCTTAGTCACCAGACTGTGGTGCCATCAGGAAGGGAGAGAAGCTTTAGGAGATAGGACCTAATATAAGAAGCTGGATCACCGGGGGTTGTGCCTTTGTGGGGGCACTGGGACCCCCAGTTTTTTTTCTCTCTCTATCTTTGCTTTCTGAAGAGGTGAGTAGCTGTCTTCTGGGACTGAAGTGAGGTTAACCGAGGAATGGGAGCCAGTACAGTAGTATGTAAATTGGCACGATCACCATTCTAGTCAGGAAACAGAAGCAGTTTCCTCACCCCAAAACTTACTAATGCTTTAGAGTCGCACCCTATGACCACTCCCTGATAACCCCTGAAATCGCTTATCTGTTCCTCAGATTTATCCCTTTAAGAATGTCATGAAAATGGAAACCTAAAATATGTAGCTTTTTGAGACCTGATTTTATCTCCCAGAAAAATCTTAATTTTTTGAGTCCAACAACTTGCTGCATGTAACAATACTTTATCACTTTCTTTTTCTTGCTGAATACTCATTTGTGGATGAGCCATAGTTTGTTCACGCATTCACCCGTCAAAAGACATCTGAGTTGCTTAAATTGATGAGAAATGGCCCAAATGTTTTCTGGTGGAGCTCCACCATTTTGCATTGACACTAGCAATATATGACAGAGCCAGAGTCGCTATGTCCTTGCAAGTTTCTGGTATTTTCACTGTTACTTATACTTGCCATCCTAACAAACTGCTGTGGTACACATCATGGTTTTAGCTTGTGCTGCCCTGATGGCTGTCCTTATAACCTCTTCAGTGAAGTAATTGTTCAAATCCTCTGCTATTTTAAAATATTTTTTTTATTAAGTATATTTTTTCTTTCTATTGAGATTTGAGTATTCCTTATTTAAATTTTTTTTGTATTTTTATTAGTACATGCTTATAGTACATAATGGTTACATTCATCATGGGAATCAGTACATGTACATAACATATCTTGATTCATTTTTATCCCCTTTTTCCTCTGTTCACCCTGCCTCCTTCTTCCATCTCTCGGTCCCCTTCCCATTTTCAAAAGATCTATCTCCCTGCTTCCTACTACCCATCTTTTATTTTGCTGTTTACATTATTTATACTGTACTTAAGCATTCTCATATAAGACAATGTTTAACCAATTTCAATATTAATCACGTGCAATATTTAAGCTTGTGTGTCTGATATATTTTACTTAACATTATGGTCTTAAGCTGCATCCATTTTTCTATAAATGACTCAAATTTATCCTTCTTTATGACAGAGTACTATTCCATTGTGTAGAAAGACCACATTTTCTTTATCTATTTCTTCATCTATAGATGGACATATAGGCCAATGAGTTGTGCTGCTAGTAAACCTGGGTATGCATGTATCACTGTGATATGATGTCTTTAACTCTTTTAGGATAATACCTAGAAGGGAGAATAACTGGGTTGAATGGAAATTCTATTTTTTAGTTTTTGAGGAATCTCAATACTGATTTCCATAATGGCTATCTTGGTTACTATCTCATTGTTGGGACAAAATACTCAATACCCACAAGTTAAAGGTGGAAAGGTAGTTTGTAGAGGTTTCAGTCCATGGTAGGCTGGCTTCAAAACAAGGCAGCATGGCAGAAGGGCATGGAAAAGGAGAAACAGTCCAGGGTGTGGCAGGCAGGAAACAGCAAGGTTTCCTTCTGCTTCCTCTCTTCTACCATCCAGGCTACAAGCCTATTTGTTGGTGCCACCCACACCCATGTTTAGTGTACACATTATTCATCCCCAGAATTATGCTAAACAAATCAGTAAACTAATTTAGTTGCCACACACCCACCACATACCCTAGATCCAGCTACCTCCAAAAGCCCCACTGATGAACTCATAAGACATTAAGGGGACATCTAGATATAAGGTATAACCATGGTTGTACTAGTTTACATTCCCACTAGCAGTGTAGAAGGGCTTCCTTTCCCCTCACAGCAGCATTTGCTATTATTTGATTTCTTGATACTAGGTGTTCTTTCTGGAGTAAGATGGAATCTCCGTGTTGTTTTAACCTGTATTTCTCTACTGATCTATTTCTGGATTCTATTCTGTTCCTTAATCTATCTGTATTCCTTCATCAATACCATTATGTCTTATTACTATAGTCAAAGTCTTAAAATTGGCTATTTGTGAGTCCACCAACTTTCTTCTTCTTCAGAATTGTTTTAGCTATTATAGTTCCTCTGTTATTTCATATACATTTTAGAAACACATTATTCATATCTTTAAAAAATCCTGATTGGATTTGAATTATTATTGCTTTGTCTAGAGATCATTTTGGTAAGGATGGCATCATTACTATGCTGAGTCTTCTAATTAATGAACAGAATGTATTTCTCCATTTAGTTTGATCTTCTTTGATTGCTTTTGTTTCTTTTCTTTTTTTTTTTTTTTTTTTTTTGGTACCGGGAATCAAACTTGGGACCTTGTGCTTGCAAGGCAGGTGGAGGCACCACTGAGCTAAATCCCTGGCCTTTCTTTGATTGCTTTTAAATAAGCAATTTATGTCTGCTGCTAAACATTTTTTAGATTTACATTAAAAAATTTTTATATTTGGAGCTATAAATCATATTGTTTTGTGTTGATTCTTTTCTTTTAAATTGTGGTAAAATGTACATAAAATTTACAATTTTAAACATTTTAAAACATGCAATTCAGTAGCATTCACAACACTGTATAATTATCAACACTAATATAGCTTCAGAACTTCTTTTAATCACTCCAAAAGTAAATGGCATTGATTTTAAATTTTAGTTTCCAATTGTACATTGCTAGTATATGTGTATATATATATGTATGTATGTTTAATTGTATGTCGCTAGTATATTTCTTTTATTTTTTTCTTCTTTCAGAACTAGGGGTTGACCCCCTACAGCTTTTTCCCTGAGCTGCATTCCTAATCCTTTTTATTTTTTGTTTTTAGAAAGGGCCTTGCTAAGCATCCCAGGTGGGGCTGGAACTTGTGACTCTCCTACCTCCAGCTCCCATATTGCTGAGATCACAGCTGTCAGCCATCACACCCAGCTTACCTTGTATTTTGTAACTTTTCTAAACTCATTTATTAGTTCTACGAGTTTTATTGTAGTTTTCTTGGGATTTTTCTACACAGACAATCATATAGTCTATGACAGGGATAGTGGTATTTATTTCCTTTTCAACCCATTGAGTTTTGATTTAAATTATAGTATATTTAGTTTTAAAGTTACCATTTGGTTCTTCTTTGTATCTTTTCTGTCTTTGCTGGTATTTTCCATTTTATATGTGTTTCAAGAGTGTTTCTAATATTTATTTAAGCATTATTATAGCAACTACTTTATCATCTTTGTTAAATCATTCCATGGCCTATGTCATCTCATCATTTACATCTGCTATTGTTGTTTCCCACATATGAAGATTTTCATAGTTCTTGGGAAACCAAGTAATTTTGCAGTGTATCCCAGACAGTCCCAATTTTACTGTAAGACAGCAATAATATAAAAAAATATTACTTTTGTTTGAGCAGATAACCATTAGTTTCAGGCTCCAGAGTCCAATCCACTTTTTGGAGGCTGTTGTTCCAGTACTGGGTCAGCCCCTGGAATGCCCCACTCCTTGTCCTGAGTGGTCTGGGTGAGGAGCTGTCCATTAACTCTGCTCTCAAAGCCTCAGGATCAGATCGGAGAAGGAGCAGGTCAAGCTTGAGTCCAGGAGTTCACACAGAGCTTTATGGAATTGCTTTCCCAAGATGTTTGCTCTTCACTACCTCCCTGCTCTTCTTCAGTTCATTGGAGGCTGCACTTTGGGGCAGGAGAAGAGAGAAAATAGCAATAGAATTTTATTCTACTTCCTAGAACTGCAACTCCATGGAATAGAGGCGAACGTTTCCCTTTTTTGAGCCTCAGTTTTGGCTCCAGCAGGGGACTCTTACCACTCCTATCACTGCTGCCACACTGCTGGTGACTGGGACCTGAGAGATTGGAAAAAGAAAACAAAGGGATAATTTTTCTACTATCCCTCTCTAAAATTTAGAAATGGCTTTTACTGTTCCTCAAGTCAGAACCACAGTGCTGCTCCTGATCTTAGAGGGTCGAGTGGAGGTTCTTCCCTGCCCCTGCTCAGCAGTGACACATCTGTTTCTCCATATGGACTAGAACTGACCATGGTTGGATGCTGTACTATATCTATAAAGGGGCCAGACAGGTAGCCTTCTATATGCACAGAAAGTAGAAGCAAGGAGGACAGGGTAAGCACTAGAATTTTCTACCCCAAATTTTCTTTCTGGTGGCCATATAACAGGATATATATATATATATATATATATATATATATATATATATATATATATTTCTGTATTTTCTACTCCCTTTATTTTCTAAATGAGTTCAAAGATTCCTAAAGCCTAGAATTGCAGGTATAATGGGATTGATTCTTGTTTGTGTTATTTGATGTTATTAAGGGACAAATGTATTATCATGATTGTTTGGGGAAAGGTTTTTGATACCATTTTATAAGATAGGTTTAAGATGCATGTAATTAACTTATAGGAATTATTAGTAAGTTTACCAAAACTAAGAAGTCTCTACATTTAACTTCATCAGATTCCCAAGTTCAGTTCCATGCTACAGTTTTAGCACAAAAAGAAATAGGAGCAAGCTGGCGTAGTGGCATGTGCCTGTACCCCAGGGCTGCGGAGACTGAGGCAAGAACATCACAAGTTTGAGGCCAGGCTTGGCAATTCAGTGGCTTAGCAAGACCCTGCCTCAAAATAAAATAAAATAAGTAAATAAAAATTAAAAATAGA